ACCCGTAAGAATAGTCAATCGAACTTTTGTGGTAATCGCCATGTTAAGTATATTATTAAGGGAGCGCCATTTGCGAGTATCTCGAGAAATGGATTTCGCTCAAATCATTGCTGAGCAGTGTCTCACAGAATCTCAAACTGATCCACGGCTAGAATGGTCTTTTAAGTCAGCCTCTCTTTATGGCTTCGGAATCCTTACCACTCTGGGTGAGTTATATTCTTCTCAAATCTTTGATCATGTAGGACACTTCGCCAGATTTTCGGACGAACTTGCATTAAGTTGCGCCAATTCCCCGGGGATCGTAATGCGTATGCGAATATGAAATGTGACAGAAAAGCGCGGAAACGTAACAAATGAGTGGACATCAGCTGATGTTTTGCCTTTCAGGATACGGAAAAATAGAACCACGGACGCCGAATGGACGATTATTCACCGTAATATACGGCTTTATTGGTATCCCTGCGACTGTGATCCTTCTTACAAATCTTGGGCGGTATCTGGAGCATTTGACGCAATTAGTAAAGAAGACCTTTTCTAAGGTGTGGGTTTTACTTTCACATTCTCTTTTCAGCGTCAAGAAAGAACCAAGTTGTTCTATTTTTATGCTTTGAAATATGAAGCAATGTCCGTCATGAAGTAAGGATAATCTGCATTAAAATTTCCCAAAGTTACACCTCCGCTCTCACCCGGAGAGGCTCGCTCAGCACGTTACTTGACGGACTAGATTTTTTATTCTCATAGCCAAAATATTTTTGTATCTGATCGGAAATTATCAACACTAAACATTGGAGTTTTCCCAACATGATACAGGTAAATGAGCGTTTTCTAAGAAGCGCGATAATTATTCATTTGCAATTAAATAAATCATATGTTACCTGCCTTGTATGCAGAAATTGTTTGTGACAAGGGAAGCAGAGCCTCAAATTTACTTTTTAAAGACAATGCTTTTAGAGGTACACGCCATCAATGCCCCGAAACAAGATGCACTTTTCGAATAAAATTTTTGCTTTAGTTTTATTAAACTTTCAGACTCCTATATTACCTTAAATTTTCAGCTCTCCAGATTCTAATCATTCCACGTATCCGGGACTAACGCTTGAAAAATATTGCACGCCTGCGTTTTTCACTTAGTTAGATATTGATGCGAAATGACTTGTTGCTGGCCAGCGATAGATGCGAAAGGGATGCAAATTCAAGCCCCTATCTCGATACAAATTGCATCGTTTTCTTTCTTTTCACACTGCTGTATTCTGCTTTAGATACTAGGAAGTTTACTCACATTTACAGAGAGAGGAGGACCGTGACGATGTTTTGCAGGATGATCCCGACGACGAGAGCATCACCGGTACCACCTTGTTTTTTATTATGATATTCTACTTGGTGAGTTTCTACTTGTCTTAAG